ATTTTCTATATATTTATTTTGTATATTAAGGAAAATCTAAAGTTTTAAAATTTGACGGCTTTGCCGCAAATAAAAATAAATAAAAATCAGTTTTGAATTTAAACCGAAGAGTCAATGAGCCTTGGGAAGGCAATAATTACTCTTGGAGTAAGTGGATTGCGATCCACTAACTCATACTTGGTTCTTGTAAGGAACGAAAGGTCGGCGACCTAAAGTACACTTCCTCGAGCGCTTAGCTACGGCAGCTCTGCTGCACTTGGTAGCATTTGTAGTTAATCTACAATTGAGTCGTTTCGACTGATTCTCTGTGAGGATGGAGGAATTTTCTCTTTGCCCCAGGGCATGCAAGGCGGGCTTAACTAGCTGATGTCCTTGCTTGGCCCTGAGGACGTGCAACACCTTGTCGCACAAGGCCCCGAGACAATCGGCGAGCGTCTAAAGGCGTTTTCGAGTCACGAAAACGCGCTGCTAGAGCACCTGCAGCAGAAGATGTCTGCATCGTTTGCGTCTATGACGCCACCGTCAGTGACGGAAGACTTATCCCGACCTCAGCCGTTCGTGGTGAGCGTTAAGGTCTTTGACGGGAAGGATAAAGAAAATTTCCTGCTCTGGGTGAGAGACGTCGAGATGGCCATCGCATCCGCCATGCTCTAAGCCGAGCAACAGCGCGCGGCACTAGCCATCTCCAAGCTCGGTGGTCGAGCGCGAGAAGGGGCACTGACGTGCGGCACTTCGGTCGAGGCTGCGTTTTCCTCTCGGGCGGAGCTGATATTTCAGCTCTCCCGAGTGTTCTCGCCGCCTGATCAGGCGTAACGCGTGCGGTCGCGGTGCCTTGCCACCCGACAGGGCAGCAAGGAATCGGTGCACTTTGTCCAAGAGATGCGAATTCTCATTGTCTGGATGGCAGCTGATCCCCGCCCGGAGGCGGTCACAGTGACCGTTTTTATGGAAGGCCTCCGCACTGGTGTGGCCAGAATGGAAGTCTTCCGTGTGAATCCGTCCTCATTTGAAGAGGCGGTGAATATGACATTGATTGCCGAATTCAATTTCATGTCGGCACGACTTGGTTGGAATGCACACTCCAGCAGTTCGTCGAGCGGGCCTATGCCCATGGATCTCAACTATGCTGAGGACGAGGGAGCAGAGCTCCGAGCTGCCGGGCAGCATACACACATTCGACGGTGATTTGTCTGTGGAGACACCCGTCACCTTCGGAACGGTTACCCCTTGCGCAAGGCGCGTCAAGGTTCTTCGAACCATCGCCCCAGCGCCTACCAGTCTGGTTCGTTGCGGGGAAACGACACCACTCAGTAGGCGCGGGGCGACCCTCTGGGGAAGAATTGAGTTCTGTTGAGCGCCAAAGAGGTAGGCCCCAGCCCAGAAGAGCTCCGTGCTTTTGAACAGAATGTGTATGCAAGCCGGGCTTGCTGGTCGTGGAAGCGACCGTAAAGGGCTTCGAGAAGCCATGGAAGATCCTCATCGATTCCGGGACGTCGGGCAATTCTGCTCGACACTCCACGATGGAAGGAAGTCTGCTGTATGCTGAGGCGCTGAAAGCGCGGTTGGGTGACATCGTCACTGTTCGCCTAGCG